TTTAGTTATGATTTTAAAAATACTTCATACCATAATCTTAATACAAACTAAATGATCATAACCGTAATGGTAAGGTAAGCGTGTATTTAGCATTCTAATAGCTCTTATGATTATAATTTTAAAAAGTAAGTTCAGGAAAAATATTTCTAGTTAAGTGCATTGGGGGGGGGGCTTCGAGAGAATCCAGCACTCCTTTGTATTTAAAAATGTAAATCCCATGTGTATTTAAAATTTAATAAATGAAAATAAAATAACGTAACAGTAATAATTATTTTAGAAATGAAGTTTTAAGAATTAAAAACCTTTAAACGTGGTTTATTTTCTAGAGCATTAACGAGAAAAATAATTGAATAAAAAAACACCTGAAATTAAAAGAGAAGAGCAAAACAATAAATATGTGTAAATAAGGGAGTATAAATGCACTCTTGACTCCTAAAAGAGTGGACGGCCACCGTAGGAGAAGAGGGAGGGGGATTTTGCCAAAAATTCTTCAATTTTTCCTTTAAAAATTGCAAGAATGCACTGGAAAAATAAAGATAAAAAGGGGCTAGGAGAAGTTTAGCCACGGAATCGAATAAAAATTCAAATAACAGAAGAACTAGAAGGGGCGGGTTCTGGGAAAAGGAGAGGAAGAGAAAGAGGGGGCGAAGGAAAGACTAGTTTCCTTGCCATTTTTTCTTTATAAAAATCATGGTTAGGAGGCAAGGAACACTAATCAAAACTTCTTTTTGAGTTTTAGCATCATTTTGCTGGATTAGGAGATGTTTTGTATCATGGAAAAAATAGATTTGCTTGTTTAATGCTTTAAACATAATTATTATAGTAGTTTAGCATTGAGTAAAGCACCTATCTGAGATGAAAAGAAAAAGAAAAAAAATCATCCCCCACCTTGAGCACAAGACCGATCATGTGTGATGCATGGTATGGGAGAATATTTTTTAATTTTTTTTTTTTTGATTTATGTGGGGTGTCTGGACTAGCTTATGCGCACCACGACTAATTCTCACAGCCCACTAAACATCCTGCAAGTCCAATGAACAGATAAAATATTGCGGGGATAACAGACATACATAGTAAGATTCGAACTCAGATGCGAAAGAAGGGAACAAATCCCTCTCACTGTTGAACTAAAACCTTAGTTGCATTAAATTTATTTTAATCGCATGGTGGGCTGTGTTAGTACCCGATGATGATAATTAGTGTGAAAAGTTTAAAAGAAAACAAAAGGGGACTCATGGTTCTCTTTATTGGACATATAGACAAATAGACCATGAAAGGTGAAAGAGGGAAAATTATGCAGATAATGTGTGAAATTATCGTAGAAAATGTGCTAGAATTGATTTGGGTTTGGTCAATGTAGAATTTAAAATATTAAAACGAAAATATATAGGTATATATATGATTTTGGGAGATAAAATTGAAGAGTGTTATTTAAGAAAATTGTGCAATGATTCGATAGTCCAAGGGGAATGGAAAAAAGAATTAATGTTAGTGAAATTATCATGTGATGATAAAATACACTACTGAAGGCAGATCACGGTCCAAGACAAATTGTCTTTAAAAAAATCCTGGTTTCCTTTTTCTTTTTCTTTTTTATAAGATTAATATAGTATTGGATGAGTTTTGATATATATTAATTAATTTTATAAATTTTAAAAGTAATAATTATATAAAATTTTAATCATTTTAAAATTTACGAACTTAAATAAATGATTTTAAAAAGTATATTTAAAATCTAACCAATTAAATTATTAATAATTATATAAAATTTTAATTATTTTAAAATTTATAAAACTTGAATAAATAATATTTAAAAAACATACTTAAAACCTAACCAATTAAATTATATCTCTCAATGTTAATTATCCAGTACAAACAGGATGACATGTTATATTTTGTATTTGTAATTATAAGTGCTGGATTAGTTTATACCTATCCTAATTAATTTTAAAAATTTTAAAATTAATAATTATATAAATTTTTAATAATTTTAAAATTTAAAATATTTAAATTAATAATTTAAAAAAATAATAAATTCAAGAATCCATTAAGGTTTTTTTTTGGGGTCACGCAGCGGAGATTTGAGATGGATGACACTTGAAGGCAGTAATAGTATCAGTGATATTTACCGGCTAAGTTCATTGTAATTTTTATTTATTTATATAACTGTCTATCTCATTCCACAATAATAGATAAGGCAATCGAGTGCATTAGTCATCATGGCATCCCTGGCAGGGTCCCTGTCACCCTAACGAACAACAATGACACTGCCAGGTCACATGAATATCTCAGCGTTTATGAAGGGATCTAAGGAGTAGATTGCAAAGGTTGGACTTTCAACTAAAAGACAAAAGCATTCATTCATTGTATTATATTAAGAGGGAGGTTGAAGCGTTGCAGTGGTTATAGTTTGATATATTTTTTTATTTAGAAATATATTAAAATAATATTTTTTTATATTTTTATATTAAAAATATTTAAAAATATATAAAAAATAAATTTTTAATAAAAAATAAATTTTAATTTATCTGAAAATACAATTTAAACCATGTTCTCAAACACTATTCAAGTTAATTCATTTTATAAATTTAGGCCCACGTTTTATGTTTATTTGAATTTTTTAAATGTTTTTGAATTGTTTTAAAACGATAATATATAAAATATTTTTCAAGAAGTATTACAAGAGTTTTTTTTTTTTATCACAAGAGGTTTATTTTTTTCCGCCTGTACAAACTAGAAGACTAATCATGATATCTTCCACGTTTTATCAAGATATGGATGCTCGGGAAAAGCTCGTGTGCTCGGAGAAGAATGCCATTCAGGGTTTGGCCCCTTGTCTAGGCTGGAGTGCAGCCCATCTCCCTCCTCGTGCAAAGACCTTATCCGGGTCCGCTTTCAAATCCATTGGTGCTCCAGGATGTCTCGTATCGGGTGTAAGATTAGGCCATAGGCATCTCGGGCTCGAGACCATCCCTAGCCCATGTGTGAGATATGCGCCCCTGAAAGGGATGTTTGAATTCGCTTATTTTATCAAATCATTTAAGTATCATCTTTATCGTCACCGCCAATTCTATCAATGATTTCTTTTTTTTAATTTTGTCACCGGAAGTATTTTCAGGTCGTTTTTTTCATATTAAAATTAAATAAATTTCTTACTAAATCATGGGATTTCATGAAAAGTTTTGCTAAAGCATCCTAGGCTATTTTTTGAACTATTTTACTTATTACGTGTAAGAAAAGGGATATATAAAAATTTCGAACAGTCCACCACAATTTCTTGAACTATCCATAATTAATTTCTTTGAACTTTAACTAGAAAAAGGTGGGTTTACCAAGCATGTATAAAGTCATGATCAATCATGATTTTTTTTTCAATTAGGATAGATTGATTACAAAAATCCATATTAATTGTTTTTCTTTGCCGTGACTATTCTTAGCTATATGTAAGGGGGTTAAGCACACCTTGATATTTATAAATTTTCACACGACACCCATTCTATTGTTTGAACTCGAGGTTTTATAATATTTTTTTTTTAAAAAAAAGCTAATTGCCTGGCCAGGATAACTAGATATATAGATCAAACCAGTTAATGTCTTAAGTAATTTAACATGTATTTTATATTGTGTTAAAAACACAATGGAATTAATTTTTAATTCCTTTAATTATGTCGCTACGGATATTTTATATTATGTTTCTATTTGCTAGATGGATGCTTGGCTCCTTCTTATTGAGTTTTTTGACAAAATAAAAGATAAGTGCATGTGCTTTGGATTTAACTCATTGTTAAGTTCAATTATAATAAATTTGGTACAAGTAGTAGTGTTTAATTTTAGTTTTTACTTATAAAAACAATAAAATTAAAATTTTATAAAATACAAAAAAATAAAACTGAAAACAAACCTATTCCAATTAATTAACAGATTTTAGTTTTGTTTGGTTATTTTATTTTAAAGATCAAAACTTAACCAACCGGTTTGGATTCAGTTTGGTTATTTTATATTAAAAATAAAAATTTATATTGTTTTCTAGGTTTTGTTTTGGATTTTCTGACGAGTTACTATTTCAGTTTGGTTTTTCAATTCGATTGTTTTTTATTCGGTTTGGTTTGATTTATTTTTAATTAAATTGATTTGATTGTGTTAAGGTTTCTGATTCAGACTTATAGAACAGAAATTGAACCAAATATTTTTTTAAATATTTAATAAGTTTAATATAAAAAATTTATAATTTAATTTTTTCAATTTAATTAGTTTTTCAATTTTTTTACTTACCTCAAATATAAGTGCCAGATTAACATTTCCTTGACTCGGCTATGTATCTACTCCAAGTACTTAGACTTGCTCTCCTGCCTATATTATGTTTTAAAATATATATACTCATCGGTAGAAATGTATCTCTTCTATCCTCTTTGTCCTAGAGGCTTCGGACAAGAAACAACCTAGGAACGTTGGACATCATCTTTCTTTTCTTTTTTTTCGATTACATAGCATACACGGTTTCTAGAATGGTCCAATACGCCCACCCAGCACAACAGAAGAAACTGCAGCCCGCCTTCCTTGACTGTGTTTTTTTCTCTCCTATTCATGCATGTAATTCACAGAATACGCACATGGCTTTTAACATCGAAAACCAAACTTGCGTACCACCCTTGCCATCCTAGTAGAAGAGCTCTGACTAACACCCAAGTTTATTCTGACTGTTGTCTTTCACAGAAGGATAGATAGTTAATCATGTAGAATAATGCAATAAACAACCGGCACATAAACGAAATTAATGTTGTGCAATGAAACAATGATAATCATGTTCGGAAGCATGTTCTGTGCATGGACAAATCTTCTCTCAACCTGGTTTTCAATTAATCAGATCAAAACCTAGCTAAGTCAAATACGGTTCCTGTGCGTGTGTGTGTGTGTGTTGCGTGCGTGTGTGTGTGTGTTTCTACATTAATTTTGAGCACACGGTGTGATCACCGATCAAAATAAAACAAACCAAACTCTTCTCACCATAGATTATATTCTTTAATATTAATCACCAAATCAAGCTAATCATCCTCTCTGTTGGCTAAAAACTCAGAGATAATATGTAAAGAGACAGGAATTAAGAGTTATCAAACTAAAAAATTTAATTTATTTAGTTACTATTCATCTTAAACGAACAGGTTCTTCATTTATAGTTTCTAACATAGGCTTCCTTGATCTACAACTAGATAGCCTATACTTGTATTCTGGCACCGGAAACCCCTCAACTTCTTCCAGACTCAATCTTGATGCTCCATTTTCACTTCCCTCTGGGCTTTCTCGAGCGTTCTGATCATCAGCGGATTCCGGCAAGACCCTAGTTTTATTATTTCCTCCAGATATTCTCCTAGCAGCAGAATTTGCAGCCATGAAGAAAACGGCCATGTCAGCAGCGGTGACAGAAGAAAAAACTCTTTTCATAGGAAACATAAGGTAAACGTTGCCAAATTCCAGCTCCTCATCAGCGCTAAGGGCAGAGAACCTCCTGCCAATGTGAAGAGATTGTGAGTTTGCTAGGAAGAAGTTTGGGCACTCTAACATGAGCTCTGCTGCTTTCACGGGCTCCCTGAACTGCCTAACTTCACCTGCTGGGAAAACAACCCTTGCAGCCTTGGAGCTCTTGATCAAAGGCGTGGCTAAAGTGCATGAAATATAGTTGCCCATATTGAGAAGAGGCGATCAAAGAAATACAAGATAGAGACCAGAGTGATTTCTTTTGGTTTAAGAGAAGAAATGAAATTGGTTGAGATTTCGTTGAAGAAAAAATGTGAGGGAAATTGTGGGCTTTATAGATACACAGGGAATAGAAGAGCCGATGGCAGGATAATTACTTTATGGAAAATAAGAAGATCAAGTATGCAAAGGCGTGGAAGTTGTGCTAGATTGTTTTGTAACAAAGACGAATGCGAGAAAAGATCCGAAGGTTCTCATGGTTCTCTACCCAGTCTTGGCTTGGCTGTTAATTCCGTGTGGGACCTAGATCCCTTCAAAATTGCATGGATGTGCTTGTGCGACGACCATGTTTCACCAGCTACAAGGTCAGAATCTTGCATCCGAGACAGCAACAAATTCTTCTTATATGGCATATTACCTTTTTTTTTTAATTGACAGCGCGTTTCATTTTATGTTTTAAAAATATTTTTTTAAAAAATTAAATATTTTTATTTTGTTTTAAATTGATTTTTTTATATTTTCATATATTTTAACTTTTTGATGTGAAAAATAAATTTTAAAAAATAAAAAAATATAATTTTAATATATTTTTAAATAAAAAATACTTTAATAAATAACCACTACTGACAAATAAACTTTAAATGTATATGTACAGTAAAGTAAGTTCGTTCATAACCCACGTTTACATGTATGCAAAATAAAATAAAATTGTAATTAAAAATGTTAAATGCTACAAATGCACTGCATGCGTGCCGTTGATTCTCACACGCATACTGTTCTGGGCCCTCACTCCTTTCTCTAAGCATAACTTTCTGTTTACATTACATAGAATCCATTTTGACTTTTATATATCTGTGTGTGTGTGTGTGTATTCTTTTAATTTAAATTCCGTTACCATTATATTGACTCCGATCCCTAACTCCTGAACGACGTTAGGTGATTTTCCACTTCTATGCTTTTGTCGGGAAATAGTTGACTCTGAAAACTGCCGTGACAAGTGGATATTATAATTCAATTTTCGGACACCTACGCCTTTTGATTTTACTCTGTGCAGCTAAGTTAATAAAAATTTGGAGGCAAAGACACAGCTACTGTTACCGGAGGACTAGAGAACGGAAATTGAAGTGCATGCATTAAATCTTCACCGGATTTGGTTTCGAAATTTGGCAAGGACACTAGCAACAATTTGGTAGGGCAAGGCATACATGCTGGAAATGGTGCCGAGCGTTGCAACCAATAACGACAAGGGGGTGCTGTGCACTTAATTTGAGAGGCAGCTTGAGTCATGAGTTTGTTTTTTAATAATTATAAGTTTGAATTTTTATAGAGTTATTAGAAATTTATATAATTTTTAATTTTAAAATTTATAGAATTATTTGAAATATATGTAAATTAATCCGAATATTTATATTAATTAAACAGGAAAAAAAAGAGAGGTGCTGTGCGCTTAGTAATCTGTCGTAGACAAAATGAGACCCCCAAATGAATGGTTCGCCCTCTGTGACTGGTCATCGCGAAGCCTGCAGTTAATCAACCTGAATCCTCTCTGGGAATTTGCTGATTTTTTTTAAAATGTTTTTCGTTTAAAGCTATGGTCTGGACTTTCTTATCAAAATAGTTTTTACTTTTGTGGAGAAAAATGTTATTTTTTTTTATATAGGTAGCCAATTAAATTATGACTGACCTGGTCACATACCATTAATATTCGATGCGTATAGAAAGCGACATCTTTGATTTTTTTCTTTTAGAAAATCAGCAATCTAGAACGTAACCTTGCGGTATTTGACGGCTGAATTTGTCAGTCCATTCCGAAGCATGGAATCGGAAACAATAGACAGATTCAAGGGAGATATAAAGAGCTGTGCGATGATCACATAATACACAGGCGAAATTTCTCAACACATCAAGTAATGCTTTCGTGTGCAACTTCATCACATCAAAAAGATTTTTTTTTTTTTTCTGTTTTAACAAGGGACACGTATCAAGGTGTGCTGGCTAGAGTCTTCAAATTGACTGGCCTGATTCTTGAGTTTTTCCCACCCCACAGTGCCTTGGAGATGAGCTTGTAAGTATGTTCGGTTGGATGAAAATAATCCCAGAACAAGAACGCATTAGGATTTGGACAAATCTCGTAGCCTTCCCTGCCACATTGTAGCAATCCTCCAAGAGTTCCATCACCACAGCATGCATTAGTTACATCAGAGAAGCCTGTGAAATAAAATTAAAAAAAGTCATCACTATTATTTGATTATATACTTAATGTTTTTGTTTATGGTTTTGAGAGCCAGCTGATGAATTACGATATTGTGCTGGAATAGCTCGAAATCTCTGTACAATATCATAAACGGCACCAAAGACACCTACTGCACCAGGGTATTTAATGGGCATATCAGTGACCAAGCTCTCCAATCCCTTGTTATATTTCTTGACCATCAAATTCATCTTTCCAAAACATTTATCAACCGGTGCGCCTGGCAAGAGGGCCCTTGCTGGAATACACCCAACAGGGCCTGGTGAAAATAGAGCAATGCGGCGAGCACCAAGCTTGTAAATTTGGTCGATCAAATCCCCAACTTCAGTTAACATGGCTTGCACGAAGGCACCAGGATCAAGAGTTGGGGTGTCATAAGGGAGGAAATAGTTGAAAATGTCAATGGATCCTGATTCCACAAGGAACAAGGAGTTTTGGACCAGGTTTTTGTCAATTTGATTTTGCTGTATCAGTGCTTGAAATTGTCGCAGCTGCTGCTGGATTGATATCACTCCCTGTCATCTTATAATCAAAATGTCACCACCACGTAGGATCAACTAGCACTTAAAGTGAATACTAAAAATATTTTTTAATAATTCTAAACTGTTTAAAAAAATATACCTTTGGAATTCAAAAGTGAAAAGACAAGAGCTAAATCACATAGTGTCACGTGTGTCGATTCCGAGTCATGTAACGTGTGGTCATATGCAGTTTTTCATGCGTTATTCATTCTTTTTGCTTTTTTTTTTTTTTTTTGGTGTGTGTGTGTGTGTTAAGGTGATGAGGTCTTGAAACTATGACAGCATTCCCATGCTTCATGTTTGCGTCAAAGCTAGAGTTCATTCTAAGCTATTTTGGCTGCTTTCAAGTTGTTTTCTATGCATAACTTCACACCAAAGGCATGTTCACCATCACTGCTGCCCTCAACGAATGGCAGCAGATAAGCTACGCCGATAAAATTTACAGTAAAGATCACACAGGTCACTCAAATTGACCAGTTGAAGTTTTATATTAGAATTTCTTGCCCAGTCCGGGTTTGTTGCCTGCAAAACACCGCTGCCAGCACTTGCAAAGTTGATGCCATTCGATGGATAGTCCTTCCTGCTTCCATTCACAACTGCAAGTTGTGCCTCGAGGAAGGGCTTTTGGAACTCGATCCCCAGAAATTGTGCTTCAATTTCGAGAAAACATATATTAATTGAAAAAATTATTTAAGCGAGAAGAAATAAATTGATACAAAATTATCAGTCCAAAAGCTATGCAGGGGTACGTGCTCAGCATGTTGCTGGCCTGGTTTGAATACTAAGACTCCATCTAAATACATCACCAATTAATAGATGTTTAGTCTAGTGGTACTCTTTTAGAGGATACGAAATGAGGTGTTGGATTCTATTACTGCTACTGAGATCCGAAGAAAATAACATATAAGTACTCCTGTATTATTATTATTATTATAACTGCTGCCTATTAATTATTATAATTATCATTATTATTTACAGAAAACTGCCTGTGGGGGAGGACAAAAAGAAAAATAAGAAAGATCAATACATATAACTCACAAATGAAGTCAGCTACTGTTCTGCCATTAGTGAAACTCCCGGTGGGACGGTGGAAAAAACTTGATCCATAAGGTGGAAAATCGGCCTGAGCGGAGCAGTTCTTGTTGAAGTGATTGTTCCCAGCATCAAAGACGGAGTCTCCAAATATGAAAATTGCAGATGCATTGGCGGAGGAGACTAACAAAGAACAAGATGAGAGGAGCAGAAGTATGAGAAATAGCTTCTCCATGTTGCTTGCTAGCTAGCTAGCTAGAAAGGAAGCGTTAATCTAGTATTAAAGGTGGCTGCTGCTGGGCTAGCTAGGACTGGAGAAAGCAAAGACAAAATTGATGAAACAGAAAACACGAGCACGGTGCATGATAGTTCTGTCGTCGTTGCCTTTATGGATTGCTTTTTGTGGTTTTCATGATTCTTAACATTTTTGGTCCTGTTTTGGCGTGTGATCATTTTGCCCCAAGCTAATGTTTCTTGTTTTCTTGTCCAGTTTTTCTGGATTGTCTTTCCATGAGAAACATCTTAACTGTTATTTTTCTAAGAAAATAAATTATATGTAATCATAATCATATGAGATAGGAAGTGTGATGCTCTTATTTCAGTCTAAAAGGAACGCTCAAGCTGTTTTATTTTGCATAAATTTAGCTGAGAAGGCTACCAAATTTGCTCTAATTGATCAAAATCATGTTCAGTATAAAATTATAAAACAATATTGTTGATTGATCCTAACTCCTAATATTTGGTTTAGATATTTTTTTTCACTTGAATATATATCCTGTAACTTCCTTCTTCTTTTTTGGCGTTTCAGGAAAGGACCTTTATAAGTGTGCAATGGAGCAATTGGATCGCCCAAAGCCAGCCAGGTCAAACAACAAGAAGTCCACGTTGGATATAAGAGCAGCTCTCGAAGGATCCAACTCGGAACGTTTTGGAAATGAGATCATCGAGGAGCAGTTTGACCGCAATTTGTTGAATCTTGCCTCTTCTCAGATCCTAGCTACCTGCCTATAGAAGACTCGTTTGTTGACTTGTTCTTCCAAAGGGCGTCAATATTTGAATATTTTAATGGTAATATGTTGTTAAAAGAGAAGAAAAATGCTTATGCAGGTTATCTTTGGCAAGCATCTGTGGATTGTGTTATGGTGATTAAAAAAAAGGCTCCGTTTATGAATCCCAAATAGATAATTTGTAAGAGTTGCTTTGAATGGTTTGAGTTATTGATTCAATATAATAGTTTTTGAGTGAGTATACTGTGAGATATATGATCTTTATTTTCTGTATCCTGCTGCAGAACCACTAGGTTAAAATGGTCTTTATCTAATACAGAATACATGGATGCCCCGATGTTCAAATCTTGATGGAACACCGTCTTTCTTTGAATATCCATATGATGTGGTAGGAAAAATTAAGATAGCTTGAGTTTAACAACACTGCGAACCTCTAATGCAGTTGAAGTTTAAATGCCCAAGAACAGGAATATTGAACTAAACTGGCAGGTTTTGCCTCCTTGTGTATCTGTGGATTGTTTTTCTACTGTTTTCTGAATTTGGTAGCCTGCCATTTTCTTATTATAGCTGCGAGGGGCAAGGTTGGGCAGGCGTCTGAAAATCAATCCACTGATTCCTCTCGAATATGTATTAAGAAGTTGGGCAGGCGTCTGAAAATCAATCCACTGATTCCTCTCGAATGCGAGGGGCAAGGTTGGGCAGGCGTCTGAAAATCAATCCACTGATTCCTCTCGAATATGTATTAAGAACTCTTACGTAAATGGATACGGGTATCAATGCCTATTTTTAAGGGTGTGTTTGCACACATTCCTAAAAATTTTCTTTTTTTGTTGCTATTTCAAATCGTTTTGATATGTCAAATTTAAAAATAATTTTTTTAAAATAAAAAAACTTTCATTTTAATACATTTCTAAACAAAAACAATACTTTATTAGGTATAGAACAAGGAGAAAGAATACAACAGGAAAGTCCCTTAAACTCGTCAAGGCCCGCAAGGGGGCATTCCT